TTGTATCTATTAAAGAGTGATTTTATGTTTTTTTTTTTGTATAGGGCAGTGGAGTGCTCCTTTAAGCTGAACTGTCCAAAATTATATAATAATCACAGAATCCTTACAAACTGACGGTTTTCAATCAGTTTTAAATATGTGTATAAGACATTTCTACATAGCTATGATTTGTGCATAAGGTTGTTACCCAGCATTCAACATAAATAAATATTTTTCATTGTCAATAACTACCTTTCAAATATCTAACCATTTACATACAACTGCAGTATACAGCACAGAAAGATTTTGAAATGTTAGTACATATAGGTCCAAAATAACACTCTATGTTTAGTCACATTAAGCTCCAATAGATGTTTCTTGTTTTAGGAGACAATATGTTACAAGCTTGTGTCCTACAAATAGCTGATTAGACAGGCAGATGGAAAGATATTATTCAGACATTATATTTGATGGTTACATTTATTCTCATGTATAATTATGTAATCTACTTTTATTTTTTTCAGAAATCAAAAACGTATTCACGATAACCATCCAGCGATTGCGGTCTCTGTCTAAAAACCCAACACCACCTGTTACATCTCTGCAGCTGTATCTTACCATCATTTAAAAATGCATCGGGTTTTAGCGCAATGCCTCGTTATTTTGGCATCCGTTTCTCTCTGCGTTTCTTCCTGTACTCATTACTCTGTAAAGTTTAAAGGAGGTAAATTCAGCTGTGTTGTGTTTTAAGCTGTTATGCTTAAAAGTGATTCTTTTTCGCAGAATGTTTTAAATAATGAAAAAAACTATTTCAATATCCCATCCAATCCTATTTCAGAAATAGTATTTGATTAGTTTAAAATACAGACAATTATGCAGTAATCAATGGACTATTTTACAAATATATTTGTAGTTATCAGATTTTGCTTACTGTAGGGGCTTTTAGGTGAGTTTAGTTTCAATGTCATCATTCACATCCAACTCAGAAGTTTTAAAGGAACGCTATAGCATTAGGAATGCAAAACTGTATTGTTAAAGCTATAGTTCCCCTTTCCCTCTAGAGTCCCTTATCGGTAGCCTTTAAAGGATTCCACTGCGGAGGTTCCTCGCCAGGCTCCTCTTCCAGCAATGTCATGCCGATAGGAAAACGAATGCGTATTTGTGCTGCAAGCGCCACGCACGCATTAGTCCTTCCCTCTTAGGAAAAGATTGATAAATGCTTTACAATGGAGATTTTGAAGACGCTGGACGTCCTCATTGTTTCAGGGAGTTAAACTCCGTGAATATGCAGGAAGTGCGTCTAGTGGCAGTCTGTACCCTGCAATGTAAACGTTGCAGTTTCCCTTAAACTAGTTAACACTAAAACTAGGGTTAAGGTGACAGGTAAAGTGTTCTAGGTACCTATAGTGACCCTTTAAAGGATTACTATAGTCAGCAAAGCAACTTTAGCTTAATGAAGCAGTTTTGATGCATAGATCATGCCACTGTAGTCTCACTGCTCAATTCACTGCCATCTAGGAATTAAATCACTTTTGTTTCTGTTTATGCAGCCCTAGCCACGCCTCACCTAACCTTCATATTGGACCTAACATATGGGTGGGTGCCTAGAGTAAACCTTACAGAAAGATTTCTAATGTAATGTCTCTGTTTTTTTAAGAAATATATATTTTTGTAGTTTTATCCAAAATATAATTATTTACGTTTTCCTAGTTTTATCTATGATTTACATGCTATTTAATAGACTTCCACTTAGACTAAAATTAAACTAAATACATTCAGATTAAATAATGATTCCTGCTGGAACAGTCATTCTCTAAACATCTATCACTTTTAAGTTTCTAATGACTGATGTTTCATTTTTGTTTTTCCAGCAGACAGCCACAAGACACAGAAGAAGATGAGAAGTTGTCATTGTAAGTTGGTATCTCCTAATAATTGCTACTATTGTATGTGCTTCACACATGGTTAGAAAGGAACTGTCACTACAGGCAAGTTCCTTCACCTCAGAAAACGCTATTTCCGCATTTACTGAGGTGAATACATTCTAAATACATTCAGATTAAATAATGCTTTCTGCTGGAACAGTTATTTTCTAAACATCTATCACTTTCAAGCTTATTTTTACTAATGGTTTCATTTTTGTTTTTCCAGTAGAGAACAACGAGGAGCAGGAGGAGTGGAAAGAACATGGTTGTAAGTTGACATCTTCTACTAATGTTACTATTTTTGCTGTAAGTGCTTCACACATTGCTAAAGAGGAAATATTACTCCAGAGAAGTTCTCTCACCTCACAAAACGCTATTTCCGCATTTACTGATGTGAATAACGCAGTGGAAGTAAGTTAATAAAAACGTACCTTTCCCGCACTTCCTTATTGAGGTAATATCTCCATCCCATGATGCCTTGTGCAGTGTTCCTCTCTGTCTCATTAGAGATATCTTTGCCAGAGGCTCAAGGAAGCAAGGTGAAGGGTCATTGTGGGACCCACCTAAGGGGGTCTGCCTTGGCGTTGGCGGGCGGACATTCCCTCCGATGGCCATTGGAGTAACTAAATAGGGATTTAGGAGAGAGCACAGGTAACTTTTTCCTTGGTTTTTACTGTATGTATTGGGGCTGATGTGTACTGTGGTCGTTGCTGCTGCCCAGGAGTGATGGGAGTGAGCGCAGGACTTTTTTTTTTGTATTAGTGTTCCTTTAAGTGTTCATTTATTGTGCAGTTTGGCTTCATGTTTATAATTTGGTTTATTTACACATGGGTGGTTTGCTTATTCCTGGGCCTTCTATTTATCTATCTATCTTCTGATCTATGGAGCAGTTATCTTTGCCACATTGTTACCGCTTAGTCCCTGGAGGATATATTAATGCTACTTAATGTCCTTGTTACAAACATATTGCAACTGTTTCTCTGATAGGTGTTGAACGTTTATCCATACACAATTTTGTGACCAAGTGATATATTATGCTACTACTCTAGTAGCTGTGTGGATTGTCTTAATTGTCTTAATTTTAATTTTATATATTCTTTAACTTTCACCTTGCTCTTTTATCATAGATTGTGTTTGTATATCTCAGACAAAAGTTAAAGGGTCACTATATGCACCCATACCACTTTAGCACATTGAAGTAGTCTGGGTGCAATGTCCCAGATCCCTAAACCCTGCTTTAATAAACTGCAATAATTACCTTTGAGGGTTCACTCCACCTTTAGTGGCTGTCTACCAGACAGCCACTAAATGGACTTCCGGGTCCCCTAATTTTTGGTCACCTAACTGACACGGGACATCCTCACGCTATGCATGAGGACATCCAGCGTCATCCAAACCCTAAGCACTAAGGTGAGTGCAGCCATCGTCGCGCATTCACATTAGGTATCTCCCGCCACCTGACATTGACGGGGGAGAAGCGCAGGTGTAGCTACATCCAGCGCTGTGGCACATTGGCGTTGGAACAAGGTAAGTGACAGAAGGTGTTTCTAACCCCTTCTGCACCGTGGGGGTGTTTTCCTGATACTATAGTTTTCCTTTAAGTTTTAACCCTATCCCTTATGTTGGTTTATCTCCTGCAATGTATTTCCTGTGTGAGAGGCTGTTAGTGGGCAGATGGGAAGTGATCCCTTCCTCTTATTGTCCAGCTTCACACACAGACACTTAAGGAGCTGGAAAAGCACTGAGTTTTACACACTCTATAACTATTTCTGCAGCTCAGCTATTAAGACTGACTGGGCTACAGAGGACACTGGCCAAGGCTCCTGGTACTTATCTCTCCCGACCAGCTTATTTAAGCTCCAAAAGGAAAACTGTGAATCCTGAAAACAGGAGCCCCCTAGTGGTCAGGCATCTCTAGACAGGTGCCTAATGGTCAGTCTGGCCCTGCCTTTTGTAAAGAGTGAGCCTAGGCCTGCAGCAGCACTGCATGGTCATATCCTGGCTTGTTGTAGTTTGTTAGTGGAGCCAAGACCAGCAGTCTCTGGATGTCCAGAACCAGAGCTGGTTGGATTAGTAGCATTTTTAGGCAGACCATCGCCCCTTTCACGGATGAGACAACTGATAAACAGCAGTGATAAAGAAGCTTTATAAACAGCAATTGAACTCCTAAATGGCAGAGAATTGAGTAGTAAGGCTGCAGGGGCACGTTCTATAAACCAAAACTGCTGCATTAAGCTAAAGTTCTTTTTGTGCTTATTTTGTCCTTTTAATATCTGCTCTTACACCTTTCTTACTTGTCCTATACATTATTATTGCAGGGTGTTCGAAATGTACATAAATACAATTATAAAATAAAAATTATTATTACTAGCAAAACTTTTTTTATTTAATCTGTTTTCTTGTCAGCTGCCCATTGTACAATAACCATACAGAAAGATAACGATGTCCATGTCATTTGTACTAATGTACCTGGACTGAAAAAAGCAAACGCAACCTGGAACATGACTGAACTTATTAATTGTACGAATGATAAACCTGGGGAAAATGAGAATGGAACGTTTACTTATTCCAACGATATTTTAACTCTAAAACTCAAAAATGTGACTCAACCAGGCAACTATGGCTTGATGATCGATATAGGCAGCGACTTAATAAAACCCTCAGATTGTAATGAGGACCTGGATGTGACAGGTGAGTGAAAGATCTGGACTGTTACTTCTCCTAAGTGTTTAATCTGTATGCATGGGAGGTACAGAGATATTTGGGGAAGAATAAGATACCTGCATGAGTGACAGATAAGCATCGGTGAGACATGGGAAGGACAAGGGAAGGATTGAAAAGTCTAATGATAGAGTGGAAGGACCAATCTCTTGCCATACAGTTTCCTTCTGTGCTGTAAAGAGAGAAATGGCATGTAAATAGATTAACAGGGGAGAGAAAGAACACAGAATATATGCTGATAATGAGGAAAAAATTATCTGGTATTTGTATAGTGTGATGAGATAGAGAGAGAGAAATTAACTAAATATTTAGAGAGGAAAAGGGACCGCGGCAGAGAACGGAATGTGCTCTGTAAGAAGGAAGAGCTGAATGGAGGAGAGATAATAAAAAGAAAAAATGCCTTGGAGTATTAGAGAGGATAGAAGGCATAAAGCCGTTCCTTTCAAGATATACCTCTGGGGGTATCTTGAAAGGAACGGCTTTATGCCTTCTATCCTCTCTAATACTCCGAGGCATTTTTTCTTTTCTTTTCTATATCATTTGGGTACATGCCCATCTATACCCACATAGTCCTATTTTGAATTTTGGGATTACGTTTGCTCTGATCCCATCAGTTCGCTTTTCTTTTCTGAGATAATAAAATGTCAGACTCCAAATGCCTAAACCACTTTAGCTTGAAATAAACATGTTGCTTACCAAATGCATTTCTTGATTGAGCCTGCAAAACTAAATACACAGGACATTCTTTGCTGGTATATTATCATTTATTATCTATATTATGTTTGCTGTAAAGCGTCCTTATTAGCAGATTTTCAGTCCTGTGTTATATTTTATGGTCGACAACTTTTAAGTTGGAATTTTCAGCTCAGATGGTAAAGAATCTGACATTAATTCCAGTCTTCTATTCCTAACTCAGGGAGAGACTGAGGCGAGTCTGTTATATTTTATCTGGAAGAAACACGCTCAGATAAAAACAATACTCTCTGCAGTGTGACTCAAGAATCTATCAATTTCAATTAGATTTTAATGTTTACAATTTATTTTTCTCTACAGAAACAGATTGCGTCACCAGCCCAATCTCGAGTCCAAGTAGGTTTTATCACCTGTTGATATTATCATTCTTTCTGTACGTTTTTAAAGTTTGTGTAATATTTTTTATGTTGTAAATTGACCATTTTGACTACTATTACTTCATACGGTTAGGTGTATAAATGATGTAATCATAGATATATGCTAATATAAATATAACGCCCCCTACCAATGACGTAGGTGCAGATATCGAACTAAAACAAGATAATCAAGTAAGCCATCATAGGTAGGAAACTCAGTAAAAGCAAAGATCACATGATCAGGTTGAGCATGGTAAATCAATAAGCATCGGATCTCAGACTAGCAATACTCTAAGCATCTCAAGCAATACGATACATTTCTAACAAGCTTTGTTCCATCAACAGTGATGAGAAGGACACACATTGAGAGCTACAGACCAGGTTATCCTGGAAGTGAAAAACACTTATTAATTGTAGAATGTATACAGCCATCAAACAGTAACCAACATCACAATACAAAATATCACCATAGTATACCCCTGCTGTTGAGATCTGAGCCTGTCCCTGTGTGACTCTATTACATGTGAGTGCAGTCAATATCCACTTACTGCATGTCCTAACATTCTTTTGCAACTTGCTATATATGGAGATATGCGCAAAACCACAATACACGAAAGCACAAGCAAATTATGATAATTTAATAATGGCATCATAATAACATTTAAAGGGACACTCTATCCTCTGTCTTGTTTGTTAATACCGCCTTGGCTGTGCAAAGGCAGTGTTTATTTTGAGCTCTAGGTACTCCTCAAGTGGTTGTCATTCAGAAACAAGAGATACTTCCTTCGTAGAGTCAAGCAATGTTTTCAGGAATGACGTTCGTTGTCCTTATGCCCAGCTTGAAGACACCAAATGCTCCCCATATATATGCCTTAGTGAAATGCATCTCTACGAGCAGATTATGATTGGCACAGCAAAGTGATTACCACACATGTTTAGTTTGTCTAATATCACCATTAATGATTATCTCAGTGAATCTAAAAAAGCAGGAAGAAACCCTAGCATTAGAAATACATGGTTTTATATTTAACGTTAGTTTCCCTTTAATAAAATGTTTGCACTTGATATGTAGCTATGTAAACAAAAAAACGAACACAAGTGAGATTCAGTATTTTTGCTAGTGTGATCCATAATCCCAACAAGATAACATTAAAGGATCACTATAGGGTCAGGAACACAAACATGTATTTCTGACCCTATAGTGTTTAACCCACCATATAGGTGGCTTGCCCCCCCTACCCCCCCTTAACCTCTTAAAAAAAAAACAACTCACTTTTTTCCAGTGCGGCGCGGGTTTGCCGGCACTGACTCCGTCCCCTTTGTGACATCAAAATGGCAGATTTTAAGCTAATCCAATGCTTTCCCATAGGGAGAGCATTGGATTGGCTAAAATCGGCACAGGGGTGGGGCGTTTTGGCCAATCAGGATATCCTCATAGAGATGCATTAAATCAATGCATCTCTATGAGGAAAATCCAGCGTCTCCATACAGAACGTGGGGACACTGAACGGCAGGGCTGCTTACTGTGCAGCCCTGAACCAGGAAGCCAATCCAGTGGCCACTTGGAGGTGTCTCTAGGAGCAATGTAAACACTGCCTTTTCTTTGAAAAGGCAGTGTTTGCATATAAATGCCTGAAGGGAACTATTATACTCACCAGAACAACTACATTAAGCTGTAGTTGTTCTGGTGAGTATAGTGTCCCTTTAACTGCTTTTAGTAGTCCATGCACAATACATGCCTTGCCTCCCACCACCCCCATTCCCCTCAATTAGGTAAGGGTTATTAATCTACTGGGATTATACTACCAAAGGGGCCAGCAGTCTACACACACATATCAGAGTCAATGCCCTCCTTACTCCCATGTGGCTAGGGGTCTTCAAACACCTACTCCACTCATCTTAATACTGAGGGGACCCAAAAAGTATAATACCTGTAAAATAAAAATTCATACTTGCTTTCAAAATTCTTATTTACTCATTAATTGTCTTTTTTCACCACCGTCCCCAAAAAGACCAAATTAAATTAAATAAACATAATACAGGACAACTAATTTAAAAAAAATAAATAAAAAAAATAAAAAACCATACACACAAAAACCTACAAACAATGATTCTGTGAAAAAGTGCGACTGTGAACTGCGAAATCGGAAGGTGTTTAACTTCCTACAAAAAGAAATTCAAAACTACAATTGCTATCACTGAATTAAAGTAATGTAGCTGAACCCAAAGTGAGTTTTAATTTTCTATATAATAATAGTTTGTTATATTTTCTGTATATACTAGTTTAATATTTAATTGTTTTAATAATGAATTCCATGTTAAAGGAACACTCCAAACGCTAAAGCACTTTAGCTTACAATTAATATGTTTAACAAATGCATATCTTTATCGAGCCTCGAAAACTAAATAAACAGAACATTCTAAACTGATCAGTCACAACATGAAAACCACCTTCCAATTACAAATGTATTAGAATTTACTTTGACTTATAACTATATAATGTATACAAATGAAAATGGCACATACCTTACAAAATTTAATTAAATGTAATAAGAACCTGGGATACTATTTATAAACAATGCATTAAACTTGGTGTTTGACATAACCAATGATAATTCTTTCTGGCTTGTTAACTGTGTAAAAAAAAACAATCCTATTTTAGATGAGAATATTACAATTGATGGAACAATTGATTTAACTAAATTGTGTATCAATTACCAAAATTGTTTTATTTTACTGCACTGCCACCATATATCTGTCATGGATCCCAATTCACCACAGTTTCTCATAACATACATCAGCAGAATTTTGAAAAATGTTCTTTAACCCCTTCAGGACCAAACCTCTGGAATAAAAGGGAATCATGACATGTCACACATGTCATGTGTCCTTAAGGGGTTAATCTTGCAAGAACAACATACCACCTATATACAATTAAAAATTAATTTCTAGATGGTTGGAACATTGCGTGCTAACTTGAAGGGCATTAGTAATTTTATACCAATCTTTTCAAATAATTATCGTAATTTAAAAAAAACAACATTTTAAACCTGGTAAATATAACTGGGTAAAAGGGTACATTAGAAAAAAAAAAGGAAAAAGGGGGAACAATTTATCCATCCACAATTTAGGGGTCTATAGAGAAGAGAATCTTTTTATACTTGATATATACTGTATAGATATATACAAAAATGAGGATGCAGCTGTAGATCTACAAAAAACAAAATAAAAACAATAGTGTAACACTGTATGATAAAGTATAAGTGCACTGTGTAGACTATAACTCACAAGATTGATGAATGGTTAGCGCCCAAGGGTGCTTCCCCTGATGTAGATGGGGGGCGTTAACACTGTTTCTGTTCCAAGGAAGGTGAAATACGACTCAGGATGTGGAGTAAAAAAAGGTTTCTTCTTTATTTAAAAGAATTAAAAGTATAAGTATACAAATAAGCTGTTATAGTATAAGGTCCTACGCTTTTCGTCCGAATGGACTTCTTCAGGGACCTCCAGGTATACAGATATGTAACAGCAATAAAACACATACAAATGAACAATTAAAAAAAAAATCTTTTCAAATAATTATCATAATTTTTTTTAAACGTGGTAAATATAACTGGGTAAAAGGGTACATTAGAAAAAAAAAAGGGAAAAGGGGAAACAATTTATCCATCCATAATTTAGGGGTCTATAGAGAAGAGCATCTTTTTATACTTGATATATACTGTATCTGATCAGTTAAATTCTAAACTAGACTCTTTTTCCCATGATAACATGAAATCTAAAGGAAGATTAGCAACATAAGTCAAAGTACATTCTAATGCATTGTAATAGACTTTATATTGGTCAAAAGGTGATTTTATATAATCCCCTTTTTATTTTATTTTATTTTTGTTGTTGTTTGTTTTCCTTTTTTTATTGTGTTTATATTTGTTAAAAAAAAACCTCAATAAAATAATTTGAAAAGAAAAGCAAAAAACAAAAATAAAATCAAAATACCGGCCTAATATCATGTAGGCCCCCCCTTGTGCTGCCAAAAAAAGCTCTAATGGGTCAAGGCATGGACTCCACAAGACCTCTGAACATGTCCTGTGGTAACATTAGCAGCAGATCCTTTAAGTCCCACAAGTTGCGAGGTGGGGCCTTCCATGGGTCAGATTTCTTGTTCCAGCACATCCCACAAATGCTCAGTCGGATTGAGATCTGGAAAATTTGAAGGCCAAGGCAACACCTTGAATTCTTTGCTGTGGTCCTCAAATCATTCCTGAACTGTGTTGTTTTTTTACAGTCAACAACATCTTAAGTTGGAATTTTCAGGTCGTGTGGTAAATAATGTGGGTGTCTTTTTTATTTTGTTGTTCTTAAAGATCTATCCAACATCCAAAGAGAAAGTTCAATAGATGGTAAGTTTTATGTCCTGATGAAATTA